TTATAATATATTGATTATATAATACTATATAATAATTTATAATAATTAATATATTCGATTACCAATAAATTTTACCCAAAATATGAAAATGAAAAAAAATCAAAAAATATAAATACATATGATAGACGGTAGCATTGAAAAAAGAAACACATCACGATCATAGAAAACATTATAATTTGTCGCAGTGGAGTTGAATCCTATAAATATATGGTGTTATTTTTTATAATAATTGACTCACCATGGAATGTTGCTATAATACATTACTCAATTTAATAATTGTATTATTACTTTAACTTTTATTGCCTAGTTAAAAAAAATTGTATATACTATTTTGTTGAACTAATTCAACTTTAGGTGCAATAATACACTTAAAAAATATAATTAGCTTAAGAACTAAAACTATTAACAATAATTGGTTTTACTTCATGGTGAATAATTTTTAGATTCTGAGGGAAGTGAATTAGTCTTACTAATTTTATCTAAAGAACAGGATTGTGATTTAACGGATGCTCATCAAAAAGAAATCAAAGAAGCTAGTTGTGTTTAAGTCACTTGTGAGCCACGTACAAGCAATACAATTCTTCATTGAAACACAACATCAGATATAAGTTCTCGAATGTACGCAACTCGTATTGGTTATTGTATGTTTAAAGTAAAATATAATTGTATTCATTTTTTTTTTAAGGGTAAGGAGAACGACATCGTAAATGTCATTGTTAGTTTTAAAATGTGAGACTAAACCACGTGTCTGGCAAGAAGTACTTCATCTATTCTGACAAACGTACTCCATGTTGTAGTAAGTATTCGATCAAGGGTAGAATGATAACCAAATTCATGCTAGGAAATTGAAATTTATCCAGGCCATCAAATAAAATATGTACCGATCAAATTTTTCCCATTATGCTCAGCGTTTTAATTTGTTTCCACATAACTAAATAAAATATTCTTAATAATAGTTTATTATATTTGTAAAAAAGTTGAGTAATGTACTTGCATTATTACTTTAATTATTATTATCTTGTCAAAAATAATTTCAAACTTTTTTTTGAACTAGTTCAACTTTAATTGTAATAAATAATAATACACCTAAAATTACTTAAATACTTCACTTGATGGAGAGACCACTGTTGTATGTGAGAAGTTGGAAAGGTAGGATATAGAGAGAGGGGAATTTAATTTATATTTGTATGGAACAAAAAACTATTCAGAATGCAGTTCGGTTACACATGTTTTGAAAGGCCATTTAAATTATAATTATATTTACGTTATTTGTTAAAATTAGATAATCAAATTCTTATAAAAAAAAATATACTACATTAAATTATTATTATTTTTTTTTTGAATACTAAGTACTTCCTATAATGAATCTTTTGTTAAATTTTAACTTATCAGTGTATAGTCAAACAATTTGATCCACAGAGGACCTACCGAATATAAATTACATAAAAATAACTTTTAAAATTAAAATGTCTAAACATAGCTCAAAAAAGCTCAAATATTTTGAAATTTTTACCAAGTCTATGAATCTATTCATGGATTGTATGAATAATAATAATAATAAACATTGTTTTAAATCCAATACATTGTTCGTTAGTCAATTTTTTATTTACCTTGTGGGTGACATCTTTTGATAATGGAGGAAAATGGAAAAAGAACATCTGAATATTTACGGAATAATTGATTCTGCTAAACATCTTTTATTGTTATTATCTTGTGAAAAGTAACTGTGAGACTTCAATTTTATGTATTTATAATATAAAGAATATATTTTATATTATTATATTAGCATAATAAAATTAACTGTTTCTAAAATACATAGTGTAATTTTTAAAATATTCTGGTGTTTTCAAATTATAATAACATTTTCGACTCTTTTTGGTTTTATTTTATGTAGAAGATATATTTTTGTTGATTTCAAAAATATTCTTCAAAATTACATAAAAATGTTCATATAAAATAATTGTTCCGATAAAATATAGAGTATTTAATTGAAAATATATAAAATTTGAAGTTATAATTATTTTATATGAGTAATAGAAGTTCAAGTTTATAATGGAATTAATTTAACATAATATTAAAAAATATGTGAGTTAATTTGTAGATACAAATTAATAAAATGTTAAATGCAAAATTATCAAATCAAATTATCTAACTGAATTAGTTAAGAATAGTTTTTCATTTGCTAAATATTGATGCATACTGTGGTTATATAAACTAAGTAAATTAAGGTTGAGATATTTTTATTGTAGAATCAGTTGATAATCCATTTTAGTTTAAATTTAATTTTGATAGCCATACATAATAATATTAAACCAATTGATAAATGTTTATTACCTACCTATTTAACTACTAATGTTTAGAAGTACCTATAAATATGTAACAAGCTTCATATTCTTTAATTGATTATTATTATTACGATTAATAAATTACTGTACACTTCTTTTATCTGAACTTTATAAAATTATTAAAAATCACAAATTTAATGTATCAACACTTTCAGAAAAATAAACTATAATATGTCTATCTTTAAATTTTCCAAAAAAATATATAAAGTTATTTTGTTAAATTTTGTACCAAAACAAAAATAAATGCTTGTAGTCCTTATCCCATGATAAATATATTATGTATAAAAAAAAAAAATAATAATAATTTGATCTTGACCTTAACCTTTGTGCGATTTGTTTTAATGTTATCAAAATGTCACTGGTTGCCATTAATTCTCAGTGTATTATTCCTACACAATACACATATCATTATACTTCAGGTAACACATTTATTTATTTATATATTTACAATTAATGAATTTAAGTTATAATAACTAACAGTAACCTTTTGAAACCAAAACAGTACCTTATCATATAAATATTTCCAGAAACCGAAATTGAGGAAGAATTATGCTACTTAAGATTACTAACTTGTTTATGGGAAACAAGAGTTTGGTGTACACTGTTCGAGAATTGCTTATGCCAATGTGCTGAAGTGAAGACTGTACGAAATACAATTCAAGAAGTCTCAATAATTTAACACAGCCCATTTGCTGTATAATTTTATGGTAAGAGTAGGTTTTTATTTCTGTAATAAATTATTCACTCGATTTGGCAACTAAATATTGTTCAAAATTAAGGGGCCTTATGTTTTATTGTTAAAATATGTTTGGCCAAGGCAAGATCATAACATAGGGTTTGGAGCCAATGTTGCCAATCACTAGAAGCCACAATCTATTTTGAGCTGAATTATTTGATAAAGCTAATTCAAATAAATAACAATTTTTTATTTTTACAGAAGTCTATTGAACAACACTTTTAAAGAGTTTATTAGATATGCTTAAATTAAATTATCAAATTCAACAAAAACATTTTAAGAGCATAATATCATGGCAAACGAGGGTTTTAAAACATTTAACTGTGATAAAGCTTTTGGTCTACATCGTCTTCTGGAGCGGTATCAAGTAACCAATTTTATTTAGTTAGTGCATAGTATAGGTCATTTTTAGTTTTTTTATTTAGCCTTTAAATATTTTTATAATAGAGATAAGCCAAAAAAATAATGTCAAAACATTTACGGAATAATGGGTTCTGTTAAAATCAATTTATTATTATCCTGTGAAAATAATTATGACACTGATCTTTGAATGTTGTGTTAAGGTCTCTGGCTATACACTGTGATTGTAATATGAGTTGTCTAAAAATTATTATGTATTATAAGTTATAACATATTATATATTAAGTATTATTGTATTATATACGGCTAGGAGAGGGCTACGTGTTTAGAGGGGAGTAGTATCAATATGCCGATTCTGGCTCACTTCTGATAATTTCACTTTAAAACAAATTTCTGATCTATATTCACATTGTTTTATTTCCTGTTCTTTGTTCACATGCATAAAATAAAAATTATATTTGAAAAAAAAATAAATTACAAATAATATATGAAAAAATAATATTTAAAAAAAAATAATAATTGACAAATTAAATTTCATAATATTTAAATTAACAATATTTTTTATTATTTTTTTTTATTAAATTATCAAGGTATTCTCTGAAATTGTCTCTTTTTATTTTAGTTGAATAATGTCCCCAAGCTACAGTATCAATACCATTTTCTAGAATATATCTTTTATCATCATATACACTTAGGGCTTTTTTATTTTGTTCAACAATATAAATTTCATTTTTATCTGTTCTAAAAATGTTCTGTTTTACATATTTTGGGTTTTTATTGTTTAAACAATTATAAAAATCATTAAAACATAATTCATTTTTTACTATAGGTTTTTTCACATCTTTTGCTTTTTTATTTTCAAATATTTTATATGTATATAATTTAGATCTTAACTTAACAAACTCTGTCATTATTTTACCATTAAGTTCATCTTTAAATTTACATTGAACATTTTTATTTATTCGTGGTATTCCATATTAATTATTCTCTGGATAACCTAAATACTAGAATAAATCTAGAATAATTTAGATTACATATTGAATGAGCAGCATTTCAATATTTTCCTGTTAAATGATCATGATCTCTAACTTTTTCCATATTATCCTCAAGATCTTCAATGAACATCTGTTTTNTATTTCACCAGGCCAAATAAAAATATACATATACATTATACAGCTATGTATATTATCTTGCTATACATTTTTTTAATAGATTATGAATTGCAATAAACATTAACCGTAAAAAGCCATTTATGATCTAAAAAATAATAAATAATTGATACATTACCTATAAAAACCAATAAGTAATGCATACAAATATTGAAGATGATAAATGTAGTAAAAAAAAAAGATAAAAATATTTACACTTTTATTAATCGGTATGTATAACTTTTGCACAAGAAAAACAAAGGAATTCTATTTAGAGGATTATTAAAGGGATATTTAAGAAGATACCAGCAAATTTTAAGCTAATGGAAATACAATTTTACGATGGAGATTAACCGATGGAAATATCTTTCATTTGATGTTATTGTAATTGATAAAGTTTTTATTAATACAATAATTTTCAATATTTCCATCATAGTAATTGTTCAATGGCAAAGTTATTTAATTTTTGACCATGAGGTGCTTTATTTATATAATATGTGTTCCGTAGATATCAGATATGTCTGGTAGATTATAAAATATACGATACATTCATTATTCATTCAGTTACTTGATAGCACGATACTTCTTTATTGACAATAAAATATCAATACTGTTAACATAAAAATATAATTCAATTCTAATTATATGAAAAAAAAAAATGATGTATTATTTCAGTAGGCCGATTGGGACTATTTTAATATTAAGGGGTGTTACCGTACACTCTACTACCTCAAATGACGCCCATGTATATGACTATAATTTGTGAAATATTTGTTGTGATATTACTCAACATTACCAGTGTCCAAAGATTAATTTTATAAAAAATACCAAAAGTATCCAACCACAGTGGTGTACTAAAAAAATTGTATGCTTAAAAGTGCTTTACATGCTTGAATATCATTGAAATTCACATTAGACTTTGTGTTCCTTAAAATCTTTACTAAAGTGTGTATACTACAGTTACCATTTGTCAGTACATTGTCAGAGTCATAAGGTTTTATACCTAATTCCTATATCAGTTATTAGTTTGACTAGTTTATATTTTGACCAATTTTTTGTGTTTATATTTGAAAAAACTAGACTTGCGTGTTGCTAATCTGATTGGGAAGGTTAATGCAGCCTGCATTAATTAGTAGATGTTAGAAAAAGCGTCTTTATTTATAATAATTTTTTGTCTAAAGCGTTTCTAATTTGAAGCACTTAATGCTAAAATTTATTACAACATGAAATCATAGATATTTTGAAATAAAACAATTATGAAGTGATATTAAATTTTACTTAATTACTTATTTGATATGTACCTTATAATGATATATGACATATAAACTAATTTCATAATCCATACTCATACCATTATCAATGGATTTAGTCGTCTGAAGATTTTAATTGTAAAGCTTAACTTAATTTTATTAATAATTGAACCAATAGTAAGATAATAAATAATACGTCACCAGTATTAGTATAAGGCCTATAAATGCGAAAAACAGTATATTGTANTTGAGACTAAAACCTTATCATATAAACAATTTCAGACAGCAAAACCGTGAAAGAATTAAGCTACCTAAGGCGACTAACTCGTTTATGGAAAACAAGAGTTTGGTGTACACTGTTCGTGAATTGCTGATGCCAATGTTCTGAAAGTGAAGACGTACGAAATACAATTTAAGAAGTTCCAATAATTTAACATAGCCCATTTGCTGTATAATTTTATGGTAAGAGTAGGTTTTTATTTCTGTAATAAACTATTAATTTGGTTTGGCAACCAAACATTGGCAAAAATTAAGGGGCCATATGATTAATCTTTAAAATGAGTCTGGTTAATTATCTTTATCAGATAATTCAAATAAAAACCAATTTTTTACTTTTGCAAAAAACTATCGAATGACGCTCAAATTAAATCAACAAAACTAATGAAATCGTTTTAAGACCATAACGGTCTCTTTTTAAGTAAATATTATATCTTAGCAAAAAAGATGTTGATTTAAGGATGGCTAGAAACATCAAACGTTAAAAAAATTAACCAATTTCATCTGCAGCTATCGATAACCTTAGGCCAAAGATAGATTTCACTACCACAGACTGTTTCAGTCGAGTTATCAATTAAAAATTATTAATTACAGTGAATTACGTAGTAATACATCTGTAATGGCTAACATATATACCAATTGAGCTATAGCTTGTATCTGGTATACGGAGTTCATAGATATTATTCAATGTATAATTATTATTGATATAATAAATACATAGTAGACTTATATAGTTAAAAATACAACTTAATATAGGTGTTTTTTTTTTCGTAACATAATTTTAATTTGAAATTATTAATGTTAGATAAGGAAAGATATTATTTTTAAACATATTGACTATTTATAATTTTATTAATACACACATCCTCATCAAGTTCATTAACTATTTTATTAATTGCTTTATTTATTTGATTTTAGATTCTGAATGGAATGAAAAATGTATAGGTTTTACAATGATGTTTATTATTTTTTTGTATGAACATTTTTTTACCGGAAAACATACTTCGATTATCAAGTATAGCTCTCTTTCTGAAAGGAAATGTTCTCTGGGTTGTACTTTAGAAAAGTCATTCTTTTGAAATTCTGATTTATATTTGAACTAATGAAGAAACTTCCATCTTTTGATTAGAAACAGACTGAAATATTAAAATGACTTTAAAATAAAGCTTAAACAATTCCATAATGATTAAAAAAAACAGAAATCAAATTCACTTAAAATCCTCTGAGATAATTGCTGGTTCATGATAAAAAATAACTATATAGATATGTTTATGACACGTTCATTTTCTTTAGAGGTTCAAATAGACAAGCAGAAAATTTAGTATAGTATTTAAGTAAAATAAATTAAATTTCTTATATCTTACAGTTTCCATAATAAACAATAGATTTAATTTTAGTATTTACAGAAAACCTACACAAACTGATGCTATAATACCACACGATTCTAATCACCCTTATTCTCAAAAAATATCATTTTTTAATTTGATAGTCTATAGGCTTGAACATAAACCATTAAATAAGCATAATTATCAACACGAGCTCAATATTATTTATAATATAGCCTATAGAAACAATTTCAATTTAAATACTATTAAAAAAAAAAGATAAATGTATTAAAGAAAAAATAATATACAACTCACCAAATAATTTTGTTAACTATTGTAGCATGAAATATTGAAATAATATGTATAAAAAATTTCTTAAAATTCTGAACAATAATACAAATATTGTAAAAATCGTTTTTAAGACTAATAATAATTTAATCAAACATATAAAGGATAAAACTAAAAACTTCACAAAAAATCCCCTTTCTTTTGAAAATCTTGATGTATATAAACTTGAATGTAACTGTTATACATTTTTATATAGGTAAGACAAATAGACATTTTAAAAAAAGATAAAAAGAACACATTTTTATAATAAAATTTAAAAGACTGCCCCTAATTCAAATTTCCGTAAACATGTTTTAGAAAATAACCATAATACAAGTTTTGATATTACTACAGACTTAGAAATATCAAATACCCAAAATAACCTTTACATTATAATAATATTTTAAATGTTCAAACCGATTTTAAAAAGAATATCTTATACCAATTCATTCTGGATAATAAATAATAACCAAATAATTTATATTTCTTAGCATACCTATGTTTAATAATAACTAATTTTTAATATTCTCTCCTATTATAATAAATTATTTCTATATTCTATGTAAAACGATTAATTTATATAATTTTTTTTTCTATGTATTCCTTCATTAAATATTTTATATTCAATCACGTTTTAGATTTTTACTGTGATATACTTGATGATCATTAATTTTTAATTAGAAACCGGTCGTATAATATATTTATCACAATATTCCAGGCGACGCATTCATTCATTTATTCATTTTGTTTTTATGTGTATACATTTTTTTATTTATATATTTATTTACTATATTATTTTAAATAGTTGATTAATAATTTTCTACCAATCGAATCGAAAGCTTCTTCTAAACAGAAAAAAAAATAAGTGAAATGTAACTCTACAAAAAAAAAAAAAAAATAATAAGCTAGCTCCTATGTGTTTAAAAACCTTAATATATGCACTAAAAAATGGTACCACACATTTTTTTTTTTTTACCAGTTTAATTAAATATTATTAGTTATTTAAGAATTTAAAATAAGAAAAACATCTATCTACCTAATTTAATTACATGCCATATGATGACTAATTAAATCAGAAACTAGTGTGACAAAAAAAATAGTAATCTTATGTTTAATAGATGTTTGTTTCTTAAATGTTTAAAACAAAAAAAATGTCCTAAAAAAGTTAAGATATTCTGAGATATTAAGATGTGTACTATGTATATTAATCACTCTGTTTATGTTAATTAATATACAGGTACAATATTTGTATAAATATAATTTTTATTATATTTTTTTTTTAATTTTAGACTATTGTGGGAAGTACGCACAACATTGTTAACTTTAAACAACCTTTCTAATCGAAAAGGATCATTGTTATACACACAATTGTGAGATTCAAAAATACCAAAAGCCTTATACTAGCTACACTTAAGTGGCTGAATTTTGGAAATGCCGCATCAAGATGCACACGTCGTATTCATCAGGTTTGTATGTACATTATTAAATATGTATGTAATAAATTTGGTTAGTATTAGCCATAAAGTCAGTAATAGAGAAAGGGTGTATGGTTGGATATGTGACTCCAACACCATACTTGTCATAGCATTTGGATTATGAAAATTTCATCCCACCATCAATTTTGGAAATATCTCCTCTAATACAGCTATAAACCACGCATATACAAATAAAACAAAATACAGACAGAAATTATATGTATGCCTAAGGGGAGCAAGTAGAGAAATTTCCTTTTTGTTTCTATACTTAAATGGAACTTGATATCAATATCAATAAAAATATCAATAAAAACAATATCAGTACATACGAGTATTTATCCTTTTTCCTCTTGATACAAATAATTTGCGAATGCCCTTTGATAGTAAAATTATCAATATAAATAATTATTACATAGATACGATAAAATATATAAGTATTATATTATAATAATAAATATTTTAATCTTAGTCTTAGCTATTTAATAGGTCATTGAGCGATCTATATGTTAAAATTTTGTATCTTTTTTCTTGTACTTAATATTTTTCATACAATATTTTATTTTTTTCATAATACTTAAGATTTACCATCACCATAGATATTTTAAGGTTCCTCTGTGTCGGTACTCATTAAAGCACATTGAAAAATACAGATAACTTCATTAGTTCTATGTTGAGTGAAGTATGTCCATCTTTTTAATTACACCATCCGAATAGTTAGAATACTCTGTGATAGTTCTGTAGGTGTTGCAGTTTTTGGATTATGCTTAATTCAAGAATGTGATTTGTACCAGTTATGTTTTGTACTTTCTAAATAAAAGGAAAGCAAAATATCATCAAAAGTAGTATCGGTTGGATAATATTGTCTTATTAGATTGAGGTTAACTGCATAAAGTGCATGCATAATTCTTAACTTTTAGCATAACTCTTTGATAACACCAGAGTATTATATCATCAGTCTATATTACATAGTCAATGCCATTTTGTGTAGTGTATTATTGCTATAAGAAGAAAACATTTTTATTACAAATGTGTTTTGTAATTATATTGATATTTCATAGTTTTTGAGTTTAATATTAAATCCTTACATAATAACTAGTGCCGGATTAACGTATAGATAGGCGACTAGGCTAGGTTGGCAGTCAGAGGGGGCTCTTTTTGTTTAATAGTGGCAGTTTAACTAGGAGTTGAAAGTTGGCATTACACCGTTAACAGAACTTTCTAAACAATATCCAACAACGTCCAACAAGTATGTCTTAACATTAAAGTCTTTAACTTGTTGGTATTTGTTGGAGCTCCCATTTTTATTTATCCCACCTTTTAATTTAAAATGCTAATTTCACACTTAACATTACATGTATATTAAGCCATTAAAAAACTTTCCAACAATGAACAATGTTCAAGTATACTTGTTGGACATTGTTAGAAAATGGTTGGAATTTGATGGAGCCTCCCCGGCATTAAAATTTTATTCAAACCATTCCAATAATGTTTAAATACAATTGTTGGATATTATTTAATATTTGTGGATATTTTTGGATCTTCAAGAAGAATTAATACCTGTGTTGGGTGGCTTGTAAATCCAATAAGCTACAAAACTTGTATTCCATATTTTAAATTCAATTTCTATATTAGACATAATATAACTTGTGTTTAATTCAGATACTTGAGCTTCAATGAAAGTGTCTTTTATGAAAACAATTATTTTATCATTTTGGTTTATATGATTAATAGTGTTAAACATGGTGTATTTTGAAATTTTAAGTTGGAAGTAATCAAATTTAGGTAGGCCATGGTTTGTTAGTATAATTAAGTCAAAGTAGATTGTTAGACTATTTAACATAATACAGAATTCTTCGAAGTTTTTGTTAGCACATCTTATGTTCAGATGTATTATATTTAATGAGTATTCATTAGTTATAAAAGTTTTCAAGTTTTGTATAAGACTGATTAGTATTAATTAATTATAGTCGTTTACAAAATTATTAATAAAAAATATTATTATTAGCTGTTTCAATTTCTAGATATGTGAATTAATCATCATTGTTTTTAACAATGTTAAAATAATATTATATAATATTAACGATTGTATTAAAACAGTTATTTTTGATATATTTAAAAGTATTTTTGAATAGTTAACATTAATTTTCTATCTATGTTATAATTTAATATTATTTGAGCATAATTAAATTTGTTTAGTTATCATTTTAAGTTGTTTGCGTGTGTGACATATATAATACCTATTTTTTTTTCATAATTAAAGATTTAATGTTCCATAAGGTTAAAATTGTAAGTAGGTTATAAATAAAATTGTGTGTAATACTAATGTTTAATACTAAAATTAATAAAGTTTGTTTTCCTAATAACAAAGTAAAGATTAAAATATAATACTGTTGTAAGAATTTTAATTATTATAGTGTTAAATGCAAATAGTATAAAAACATAAGTTCTCATTTGGGTTTTTTTTGGACATTTCCGCCTTTTTGTTGTAAACACTACCATTGATTTTCCAAATGTATCTGTAACTTAGTTCCTTCATCTTAGTTCTGGTTTCCCAAAATAATATTCTGTTATATGTCGTTAAATTTTCATTGATATTACGTGCCCACAAGCATTATAGGTAATTAATTCTGGGAATTAAATATGATAACACCCTTCGTGTGTCGAACAAACCAAAATAGAACCGATAAATATTAAAGTGCAACAAGCTAAAGGGTTAGGGAACTTGCACTTTTTTCGGAAACTACTAACTTTCTAAAAACTAACTTTCTAGAAATAAAAAAAATGACTTCTTTAATGTACCTCCCCAATCAGATTTTATTTCAAAAAAATTGCTTTACATGAAAATTGGATCAAAATTTCTGGAAGAAAAGCTACTCACAGAAAAAAAAATTAACATTATTGTAAAACCAATGCATTCCTTCTTCTACTCTGAATCTAAAATAATAATTATATTATAACATTAACTTTAAGTAACTAGTTAAAAATAATTTCAAGTACTATTTTATATAACTAATTCAACTTTGGGTGTAATAGTATACATAAAAAATAAAATAAATTTAATAATTAAAATCAATAAAATATTCACATTAACTAATTTTAATTCGTGGTTAATAATTTTTAGATACTATTAATCGAAGCTAATTAATTTTACTAATTTTATCCAAACAACGGAAAATAACAGCATTGTGATTTAACGGAGGCTCAATTTCCTCGGATGCTCATTGAAGAGCTTCAGAAAAGAAGCTATCAAAGAAGCTAGTCACGTTTTTGACTTTTAAAGTCATGTACAAGGCATCAAAATGTTAAAAAATACGTGCCCAACTCATATCAAAAACATTTACAAGTAATTATATAATATAATCCACCAGTTATATATGATATAAATCAATATACATTCTTACACTTTAAGATCAAAACTATTTAGTTTAATTTTAAATCTATTTTTAGATGTAATAAAGTAATTAGATATTATATATTCCAAGTAAAATTTCAATTTTAATCTTTTAATTGTTTAAGGTAAATTTTCTATGTATAATGAACGATGTGCCGTTATGGGTTTAAACATCATACCAAACCACTCACCCAGCGCAAAGTACTTTATCTCCGTTCTGGCACCAATTACGGGTAGACTTTCCAACAAGCAGAAGGTTCACCATCATGTAGAAAATAGTCCACATAAGTGCTGCTGAATTGTAGAACGTTTCAGAGTTGTTTGAACGGGTTCACCGTGTACAACTACGTTCCTGGATGATACATAGAACGGGTACATTCCCTGTGAATATGAAAATGTAGGTAACGAAATAAATAATGAAAGTACGCGATTTGTTGAGTTGAAATTACACCAATGTAAAAATAAAAACGAAAAAAATTATAAATTTAATATAATTCCAGAAAATTTAGAAAATAGAAACAATAAAAATAATTATAACGCAATTAATTTGCATAATGTGAAAGAGTTTGGAAGAGACGATAATGAGTCGCCGCGACCCGAAACGGTTTATAAAACTTAGCCACGCTTCGTGGCGTGAGCAGTCAATAGTTGGTTCTTGCCTAAATGTAAAAATAAGGTTATACAATATTATATTATTACTTTAATTTTTAGTACCCAGTTAAAAATAATTTCAATCACGTATTTATTGGAACTAGTTCAATATTAGGTGTAATAATAACGTAATGTTTACTAAATGATGAATACATTTTAGATTCTGAGTGAAAAGCGATAGTTTTATTACCTTCTGCCTGTAAAAATCGTTTGATTTGCATCAATTTACAGAACGGTTTCAAGTAGCAAATTTTGTATAATATCGGAAGAAGCCGAAAAAGAACGACAACATTTTTAAGGAATAATAGGTTTTATTTTAATTCCTTTCGTTTTATTGATATCTTATAAAAAATAATAATAATTTCGAGACTTAGAGTATTTGTAGAATATTTGTATAAGTACATTATCATACTGTAATTAGATATTATAAATAAAAGAAGTAAAGTTTTCAAAATATTACAGTGGCTTCTGATACAAATATACCCATATGAAATTTTCGAATAGGTATGATCTTATTGTATGTGTATCTACATTATTATTTCCGACCAATACATGAAAAATGTAAATAAGTATTCTCATAAATTGTATATATTACTGAATATTCATTTAAAAGTATCCAAAATTCAAATTAAAGCATTTTTTTTAAAGAGAAATGGAGATTAAAATGTATAAAAAATTTAAAAAAATTATTTAGAAAATATACAATCACCAATAAGCATGGTTTCTGTGCTACCTTTTTTAGAGCCTATATTTTGCCATTCATTGGGATTGAATAAAAATAACTATTGGTTTAAGATCAGGTTGATTTTATAAAAAATTTTTATTCGAGAAAACTTTAGGTTGTCAAATAGTTCCATTGTACACAATACTCGTGTTATCAAAATACGGCGGCAGGTATAATTTTTGAAAAATGTCATGATTTCTTAATTCGCACAGAATTAACATTTGATAGATTGTACCCCATTCTATTTTACCAGGTAGTTGTACTTGAATTTTGCACCGAATTAAAATTGAATGTTTATAACAAATAAACATATGACTATTCATTTTCTTTAAATATAAAATGAAAAAAAAGGAAATTAAAGTCATAAAAAGCTATATTTTCCCAATAATTTAGTTTCTGTGCTACGTTTTGTAGGACCAAATATTGTTAATCGAAAGTTTAAAAAAAAATTCTCGTATGGTGTTAAATTGAAAAAATATGTGCCATCGTCATTAAAGATTTTCATATTGATAAGGATGATATCAATAGCATAATTCCTGAATCAATTCATTTTCCGAAAGGATTATCGCATTTTTTTATCGTTGGAAAATGAAAATATTCAATATTTAAATAACACTTAATCATTGGCCAATATGGTTTTGTTCAACGATTATTACGAGCCATATGCTGATATTTGTTGAGATATTATATAAATAAATACCGATTTTCATATAGATAAGGATGATATCAATAGCATAATTCCTGTTTCAATTCATTTTCCGAAAGGATTATCGCATTTTTTTATCGTTGAAAAATGGAAATATTGAATATTTAAATAACACTTAATCATTGGCCAATATGGTTTTGTTCAACGATTATTACGAGCCATATGCTGATATTTGTTGAGATATTATATAAATTAATATCGGTTTTTTACCGAGTTATTATTTATACAAAATATGTATTTAATAATGATTTTTGTCGTTCAGTTCTCGCCCATTGTACACCACACTCGTGTTTTCCATATACGGCGGAAGACATAATTTATGAAAAATGTCAAGATTTTTTATTTCAATGGAGCCTAAAATTGATAGATTGTACTCGATTCTATTTTACCGGATAGTTGTACTTGAATTTTGCACCATATTAAAATATTTTATTTGAATGCTCTAAACAAATAAACATATGACGTTTAATTTTCTTTTAATATAAATTTAAAAAAAAAAGGAAATTAATGTCACGAGAGAGTTATATATTCCCAATAATATGGTTTCTGTGCTACGTTTTGTAGGACCATTTATTGTCAATCGAAAGTCTGAAAAGATAGTAAAAAAATTCTCCTATGGTGTTTAATTAAAACAATTTATTTCGGTTGCCCTCGACCAGTGTACACCACACTCGTGTTTTCAATATACGGAGCCATCGTCATTAAAGATTTTCATATAGATAAGGATGATATCAATAGCATAATTCCTGTTTCAATTCATTTTCCGAAAGGATTATCGCATTTTTTTATCGTTGAAAAATGGAAATATTGAATATTTAAATAACACTTAATCATTGGCCAATATGGTTTTGTTCAACGATTTTCCATATACGGCGGAAGACATAATTTATGAAAAATGTCAAGATTTTTTATTTCAATGGAGCCTAAAATTGAAAGATTGTACTCGATTCTATTTTAACGGATAGTTGTACTTGAATTTTGCACCATATTAAAATATTTTATTTAAATGCTCTAAACAAATAAACATATGACGTTTAATTTTCTTTTAATAAAAAATTAAAAAAAAAAGGAAAATAATGTCACGAGAGAGTTATATATTCCCAATAATATGGTTTCTGTGCTACGTTTTGTAGGACCATTTATTGTCAATCGAAAGTCTGAAAAGGTAATAAAAAAAATTCTCCCATGGTGTTAAATTGAAAAATTTATTTTCGGTTGCTCTCGACAAGTGTACACCACACTCGTGTTTTCCATATACGGCGGAAGACATAATTTATGAAAAATGTCAAGATTTTTTATTTCAATGGAGCCTAAAATTGATAGATTGTACTCGATTCTATTTTAACGGATAGTTGTACTTGAATTTTGCCCTATATTAAAATATTTTATTTAAATGCTCTAAACAAATAAACATATGACGTTTAATTTTCTTTTAATATAAAATTAAAAAAAAAAGGAAATTAATGTCACGAGAGAGTTATATATTCCCAATAATATGGTTTCTGTGCTACGTTTTGTAGGACCATTTATTGTCAATCGAAAGTCTGAAAAGGTAATAAAAAAAATTCTCCCATGGTGTTAAATTGAAAAATTTATTTTCGGTTGCTCTCGACAAGTGTACACCACACTCGTGTTTTCCATATACGGCGCTATCGTCATTAAAGATTTTCATATAGATAAGGATGATATCAATAGCATAATTCCTGATTCAATTCATTTTCCGAAAGGATTATCGCATTTTTTTATCGTTGAAAAATGAAAATATTGATTATATAATAACACTTAATCATTGGCCAATATGGTTTTGTTCAACGATTATTACGAGCCATATGCTGATATTTGTTGAGATATTATATAAATTAATATCGGTTTTTTACCGAGTTATTATTTATACAAAATATGTATTTAATAATGATTTTTGTCGTTCAGTTCTCGCCCATTGTACACCACACTCGTGTTTTCCATATACGGCGGAAGACATAATTTATGAAAAATGTCAAGATTTTTTATTTCAATGGAGCCTAAAATTGATAGATTGTACTCGATTCTATTTTACCGGATAGTGGTACTTGAATTTTGCACCATATTAAAATATTTTATTTGAATGCTCTAAACAAATAAATATATGACGTTTAATATTCTTTTAATATAAAATTAAAAAAAAAAGGAAATTAATGTCACGAGAGAGTTATATATTCCCAATAATATGGTTTCTGTGCTACGTTTTGTAGGACCATTTATTGTCAATCGAAAGTCTGAAAAGGTAATTAAAAAAAATTCTCCCATGGTGTTAAATTGAAAAATTTATTTTCGGTTGCTCTCGACAAGTGTACACCACACTCGTGTTTTCCATATACGGCGGAAGACATAATTTATGAAAAATGTCAAGATTTTTTATTTCAATGGAGCCTAAAATTGATAGATTGTACTCGATTCTATTTTACCGGATAGTTGTACTTGAATTTTGCACCATATTAAAATATTTTATTTGAATGCTCTAAACAAATAAACATATGACGTTTAATTTTCTTTTAATATAAAATTAAAAAAAAAAGGCAA